TATATATATATATATATATTTATATATATATAGTTAAGTTAATGTTCGTAATACTTTTTATGCATGTTAGATTATGCACTCAAGGAAAAAATAAAAAGACTTACATGATAGATATGTAAATACAAAAAAATTCAGTCGTATGTAGTTCAATAATTTTATTGTAATTTATGGATTCTAGACAATTAACTATGTTTTCACATCCCTTTAAAAATTTCAAATGTGTGGCATATGTCTTTCAGTTTTGTGGCACATGCTTTAGAAAAAGGTGTATTTTAAAAAACTATACGAGTATGCGGATGCCTTTATAGTTTCGAACTTTTTAGCACACATACCTTTATGTCAAATGTCCTCTATAAAATTAATAAATATTTTATGTCCTCAAACTTGAGGCACATGTCCTCATTTATGCTCAATCATCTAAGTAAGCGAACACAAATGAGCTTTAAGAGAATCATGTGTCCAGAGTAGTACCAGTAATTTGTCCATATCCCCTAGGCATTAATCCTCTTACAAGGATAGAACTACGCTTACATTTATAATAAATTTTTATATACAATAAATATAAAGGTTAAATGCATGATTTTACAATGCCCCAACATAAAGAAAATGAGAGCGCTTGAGAAGAATGCTTACTGGTTTGAGTGTTTCTGGACTGCAAATTATGCTAAATGCTTTCCAATCCATGCCCTGAGATAGCCAGTAAGCCCCACAAAATGCTCTATTACATCCTAGACCTGCAAAACAAAAGAAAAAAAGTAAGGCATTGCATCAAAATCAATGAATAAATTAGAACTGGCTAGGAGCTACAACTAAACAAATTTTGCAGTGACAGATAAAGAGAAAATGATAGATATTATGAGAAAGGGGAAATAAACTCCCCACAAGAAAATTTATTAATTTTGAATGAAAAAATGCTAGGCTACTTTAACGGGAGAAATCTGCATCAAATTTAAAGTATGTGAAAAAAATCAAAATGGCCCTTGGACTATTTATGGAAAGGCAGTTTTAACCAAAGTATCTAATGGATACAACTTAGCCCCACACTCCTGAAAGCTGATTCAAAATAGGCATTTCACTCATCAAATATGACCCAAAATAATCCAATAAGGAACCATTTTGAATTACAATTGAGGATTCAAAAAGCTAAATGATTAAATTTATAATCGAGAACTAAAATAATCCTATATAAATAGTTCAAAAACAATTTTGACATTTTTCTCAACCAGCAAGTTTTACAGTTAAAAAACAATATAAACTTAAATAAAAAGTAGTAACTATTTGATAGTGTAGCAAAGCCAATGTGTTGTGGGCCTCTATACCTGGATCGGTTCAATGCAAGGTTCTTGAGGGTCAGTCGGCCCTCTAGTCAACTTGAGAGTTCTGCCGAACTGGAGTGGGGCTCTAGGATTATATACGTACTTTGTTGATGTTTAGGTTAGTTTTTGTGTGATTTGCTTTGGGACAGCCATCATCATCTCTTTTTTTCCTTGCTAGAATTGTATCTCAAGTTTCGAGTGATACTCCGGTTGTATCTAGTTCTCAAGGGAGTGTGTATCCCATTCTACCCCCCCCCCCTCACTCTCTCGCGCATCAATTTCCTTCACCCTCTCCACTTTCTTCCTTGCTGCCACCACCCAGAAAGGTAATCAAAACTGTTGTTTTCCCTCCCAGCAGCCAGTCGAAACCCATAAAATTGCAATTCCTGTTTTCCCCCTTGTTGAATCTCATCACCTGTTGTTAAGCAAAGGCCCCTCAGCACCGCCTACGCCCTAGATCCAACCCTAGCTCAAATGTTGTGTTGTTGTTTTGTTGCAATTTCAATTTTCCCATTGTTTATCATGATTTCAGACTTTGAATTTAGTAATTTTATTTTTTTTCTTTGGGTGTTTGTTAAATTCCAGTATCATTTAATATAAGAGCTAGCCCAACCCTATTCCGTCCTCGAATGGCCTAAATCCACCAAACCATAAGATATTGACCTAACCGTAATTCTCCTTGTTAATATTCAAAATCAGCAACCCTATTTTTTTTCTACAACCTAAATCAGTCTCGTACACCCTCTTTCACCTCCCAAACCTAAACCCTAGTCATGCCACTGAGGAGACAAGTTCCAAAAGTTGATCAGAAACTTACCATGGAAGAGAAGTTGTGTGAAATACGCTAACTTCGGCAAAGACTTGCATAAATTGAGGAAGGGACCCATTGAGAGATCACCGTTGATCTTGATAATGAGATTCAAAGAGAAGAGAGGTGGGAAATCTAAATCCCTTCCATAGGGATGATTCTAGTGAAGAAGAGAATAGGCCACAATACTTTAGGATTTAGTATCAGAAGAGGGCAAGAGATCGATTGGCTTTTTGAGGACACGAAGATATGTGAGTAAAGGTAGATTTATCGGATTTTTAAGGGAGAATGAATATGAACGACTTCATTGAGTGGTTGCAAATTATTGAAGAATTTTTTAATATAAGGAGGTGCCAGTTGATAGGAGAGTGAAGTTTACTGCCATAAAGCTGAAGAAGTGCTTTTATGGAAGAAAAATTTGAAGAGAGTGAGACAGAGAGAAAGTAAGAATGAGATCACAGCTTAAGAGATGATGAAGGAGATGGAGATGAAGTATCTACCCTCACACTACCACCAGGGCATGTTTTTGAGGCTACATCACTTACATCATGGAGAGTTGTCAGTAGAGGAGTTCAGATTGCAGTTTGAGCAGCTCATGCTGAAATGTGAGCTAAGGGAGTCAGAGGAGAATAGCATAACCAGGTAATTGGAAGGCCTGAAGTCAACCATCAATCATGTCGTTCGGGTGCAAATTTACTGGCCATTGAGTGATGCTTAGACATTGGCCAAAAATGTGGAGAAACAACATAAGCAGATCAGGACCGTCTTTATTCAGACGATCACCCATAGTAGGAGCCAGTAGTACACCTAAGAAAGGTGTAAAAATTGTTTAGAAAGATGATAAAATTGATCAGAGTGGAAAGAAGCCCAAGAGGAGCAGTACACCAGTATAATGGCCACAAGGAAGTATTTCAGATGTCATGGGTTGGGACCATCGCCTCCAGTTGCCCAACTACCAGAGTTATTTTTTCACTGAGCAGGGAGTTGTACAAAAAATGGATAGTGGTACTAGAGACATAGAAAATAGTGAGGATGTGCAGGAGTACTAGCTTTCAGCTTATGAGGGCAAGATACTTACGGTTTGACGGATCTTTCAGCCTAAGGGTTTATTTGGGAGCGCTTTTTGATTGCCTTCATTTTTAAAAGCAATGAAGTTTTGTTTGGGAGCCATCATTTGAGGTGTTTTTTTGTCAAATCGCATTTTTAAAATGGGGAAGTCACGAATAGTGCTACGGAGCTCAATTCAGCAGAACTACTTGCGATGGGAAATGATCTCTGTGCCCCTCATCATGTCTAAAATTACTCATGTTATCCTTGATATTACCCCTCCTATTCTCTTCTCCCTTTGCCTTTGTTGCGAGCATCCTGTTTTAGGAAACATTCGCAGTGCAATTCACTTCTCCCCCATCTTCGTCGTCGCCCCTCTGTATGTACTCTTGAACGAAACTTCTTTTGGATTCTTATTTTTCTTTTATGGTTATCGGTCTTGGCTCGTAGCTTTTCATCTGTGGTTACGGTTTGGGGCTTCTTATTTTTTTCTTTTGTAGTTATGGTTTGGCTTCTTGTTTAACTCTTGTGGTTGCAATTTGATGCTTTTTGTTTTACTTTCGTGAGAATGGTTTGATGCTTTTCATTTTTTTTCTCTGATTGTGATTCGGTACTTCTCATTTTTTCTCTGTGGTTGTGATTTTTCAGACTTCTCATTTTTCTTCTCTGGTTGTGTTTTGGTACTTCTCGTTTTACTTTTGTAATCATGATTTGGGACTTTCGTTTTTCCTCTGTAGTTGTGGTTTGGAGCTTCTCTTTTTTCTTTTGTGGTTGTGGGTGGTGTGGGGCTTCTCGCTTTTTTCTTCTGTGATTGTGGATACACGAGAGTTACATAGAGGTTTTGGTAGTGGTTTTACAATGCCATCTTCGTTATGGTTGTGGATGTGGTGGCCTCTGTTAGTTGTTGCCTACAAGGTGAGGGGTGGTTTTGCAATGTTGGTAGTGGTTGTGCATTTGCAATGTGGGTTGTAGGTGTGGGTGTAATTTTTACAAATTGTTGCTCTTTTCCACTTCATGGGTGTGGGTGTGGTGGTTTCTGTGGGTTGTTACCTGCAAAGTTTGGGTTTGGTTTTGTAATATAGGTTGTGGGTGTGCTTTTGCAATATGGGCTATAGGTGTGGGTGTGGTTTTTACAAATTCCTGGAGAATGGCTGCAGGGAGACGTCCAACAGGAAGAAGAAGTGACAGGATCAGCTGCCACAGCCCTGAAGGGAAACAGCATGAAAAGTGAATTCTGTGAAGTGTCACGAGAAGAACGGAGCGAATTCTAGAGGAGGGCCTGCAAGCAGGGAGAAGCCGGAAGGCCTAATACTGGGAGAAGCTCCAATGTTGTGCCTGCAGGAAGACAGGTGGGTGTAGGACGGATTCTGACTGCAAAAGGGAGGATTTCGAGGAGGGGCCTGCAGGGAAGAGTTCCGAAGGGGAATGCTGCAAGGTACGGCCTAGAGGGACTAGTGGAATCTGCTGGTAAGAGCCTAGGTGGGGAGTTCCGGATAATTCTGCTTGCTGCACAAGGACAAATGATTTCCACTAGAGAGCGAATGTGATTTACACTGGAGGGAGAGCTATTTCAACTAGAAAGAGAAAATAATATTGCATCAATCTCACAGGAGTGCCCGGGCTATCCCTGCCTTGCAGATTAACATGATCTGCAGGGGAAGAGTGTTGGAGGAAGAGTTCCGGTGAAGAACTTACCTGCAGGGAGAGTTTTCTGCTGCTGGAGGGATCTTGCAGAGAGGCGTCACCTGCTGCAACAAGCTATGGAAAGGTTGGCTGCTCCTCCGGTTGCTTTGCTTTCCCAGGAAGTATTTCTACTTCAATCAGAAGCAGCAAACCTGCCAAGGTTCTCCGGGCAAGAGATTCGGCCAGCAGTAGGAGTTCCGGCTGGCAGGTTGACTACAGGATTGAGATCCACCAGGATGGAGAGGAAAACTCCTGCTCCAAGTGGAGGAGGACTGGGAGAACTTGCTGCAGTGCAGGGAATGAGTTTCATGCGGCTGTGCAAAGATGGTGGTCCGGCAGAATTAGGGCTGTGCAGGAAAGGAGTTTCGTGCGGCTATGCAGGGAAGGTCCACTGCAGGAAAGGAGTTTCCTGCACTGGGAGTGTTCCTGCAGGGCAGGAGTTTCCTGCCGCCTGCTGTAACACTATCACAACTGACAAGTAAATAGATCATAAAGTTACAACTTCGCAGCACACTGGCAAATGTTTGAAGTTGGCATTATCAAACAGGTTCGCAATGTAAAGGTTCTCTGAATATAAAACAACCAGTTTGTCACTAATTGCCATATTAATGTACCCAAAAAAAATGATCCCTGACACTACAAATAATTGACTTCATGAAAATATAGGTTAAAAAAAAATATTAGGAAAGAAAGTTAATGAAACTTACAGTGTTGTGGTACACCAATATCAGGCCTAGATGGCATCCTTCCGCTACATTTATGACACTGCAAGTGAGCAGTGGTCTGGCTGCATTTGAATCCTTCAAGTTCAGTTCCTGTACAGAGATTTCAATTAGGGATAAAATGTTTAGAAATATAAAATTTGACAGCAAAAATAAGACTAAAAGACTTGAGCAAATAAATATAATCTAGCCACGGCCTATTGTCCTCTTAGGATATCAAACAATACAAGCAAAATAATCAGTAGATAGCAGAACCTATAGTAGAGCAAGCAATCTTGTTTCATCCAATAAGATTAGCAAGTATTTTTTTTTCTTATGAATTAGATGAGGTTATCATGTACATTGTCTGTATAACTGTACTTTGATTGCCCTATTTGTAAGGAAATTGAATCGAAAATATGAAAAGTAGATCTGCAAGAATTCCAAGAATACTAAATCCAAAACTCTGGAAAGAATGTAGCATCATTCCAAAAACTAAAATCAATTGCTTCTTCAATTCATCAAAAAATAGAAATAGGTTGTAAAAATCTGTGGAGTTGATTCCACAATCATGGAAGGGATAAACCATCTTCAACCCACACTGCCCGGTAGTGAACTTTACCACTCGTTGCTTGTTCTTCAGTTCTAAAGGCCTCACTTGATTCCAAATTAGGGAAAATGAACTAATTTTAACAGTGTACAAACACAAAAATGCATGTTTTCCACGTTGTCAATCAATTATCCATATACATATAAAAGATTTTCTCTTCAGCTGTATTGACAATATTCATCATAACCTAGGTTAATGATTGAGGTTCAAAAAAATGTTAATTTGATCCAATAATAAGGAAACTGCATTTACTTAGTCAACACACATAAGTAAAAATACCATTGTCAAATATTATCCTTGAAACAAAAAAAATTGCAAAAAAAGAAAAAAAAGAAAAAATCTACAAATGAAGCTTATTTACTAGGCTAATATCACTTAAATTTAAAATCAATTCTATAATTTTGAAAAGTATGTTATACTTCAAAAAGAACTTTGTACTTCATATTACCACATTGTGGACAAGGAAAATCAACTCTACCACCATCATCATTGGCGTCCACAAAAGTTCTCTTTCTCGAAGGTCCTTTCGGAATCCCCAATAACTAAAGATAAACATTGGAATAGCATCACCACAAATAATTCACCAAAATGATCGAAAAACATAAGTTAAGGCACATTAAGAAGACATTGTAGACATAAAATTACTCTCAGATGTAAGAAGAAAATTATAATTGATTACAATCAAACCATAAACCTCATAAATCCTACTAACTACATGACTTTAACAGGTTGGATCCTTTTTACAAAAACATTCTAACATGGAACGTCTAAAACTAAAGGCAAATGGATTCAAGAAAATTCTTGCGACTAATTCAAGACATCAAAATCTGATGTGAGGCATTAGAAACTAGGTTTATTTGACATTCCTGGGTAGAATAACCCCCAAAACCAAAACTTCCTACTGACCCTTAGAATTTGAAAATGGGGCATTTACATTAAACTCAATTCCTATGTATTTACATATCTAACACCTAATTTTTAATTTTTACATTTACACCAGCAAATCTTTAATATCACATTCCATCAAAAATACCACCATTTTAACTTTCAAAAAGTGAAATACACCTTTTAATGCAAAGGTAAGGTGGTATGTATGTAAAAATTGAAGTTTATATGTCAGATTTGTAAAAACATAGGAATTGAGTGGTATGTATATAAATCTTCCTCTGAAAATTTAAGTACAGCCTGTTAGTTTGCACCAAAAGATAGTCACAATTCATACTCTCGAGACTGAAAATTGAAAAGGAGGATAATGATAAAAATGAAAGGTTTAACTTTGTATAAAGTAAATGAATGAATTTTGCAGAAGTCAATATAACCAAGTCAGAAACTAGAAAAACATTTTATAACACTTATTCAGATGCGCAATTTCCAAACCCAACCAAATAGTGGAAATGATGCCAGCTCTTACATCACATTTAGTGCTGGGTAACTAAACCTTTCTTAAATGTATGCCAAGGATTATCATTAACTATATACAATTGTAATTAGCCTTGTTAGCCTTCAGATGATCATTGAAATGGATATGTAGAGAGCCTGACCAAGTCAGAATATGAATGATCCTAAAATACATCCAAATAAGATTTTATGATGAATGACTCGGGTTTTGCTTTAAAATTTGCCGTTAACATTAAATATATATATATATATATATATACACGTACATGTAGATATATATATATATATATGTACAGGTACATATATAACTGTATTTGTATCTCTATGTATATATTTGTATATGTACGTATACATATATGTACACATATGCATATACATAAATTGGTATATGTATATATAGGTATATATACGCGCGCGCACAGATATATATAATTGTTTTCTATGGGGTTTGAAGGTGTCAGCATTACATCACTTGCAGTAACAATAACGGCAAGAGCAATAGAATCAGACACCAAAATCTGTACTGTGGTAGTTTTATCTCCAGGTGGTACAGATATATCCTTAGATTCATCCTTATTCACTCGATATTTAGATTTCAAATTAGAGTGAAGCTTATGGCATTTATCAAGAGTATGCTCAAACATATTACACTGAGAACAATAAGAAGGTTTATGTTCCATGACAATTTGTTGTCAATATCCATTATGCGTTGTGCCCAACAAGACTTCAATAACATCAGGCAAAGTAATATCTCTTTCCACAAGTATTCTGGCCACAGAATGTCTGGTAAGGTTGAAAGTGAGTAGATCTAGCTTCACAGAGACCCCAAGTATGGCACCAATAGAGTAAAGAACCTAATGGACCCCAAGTATGGCACCAATAGAGTAAAGAATCTAATGATGAAAAAAGTACAACTTGAGACCAGGTAGACTAAATCATACGGTACTAGGAGGTTCATGATTAGGGTCAAAATCAGATCACTTGAGTAGCTTCATTGGTTCACTAGCAATATTAAAATATTTTTTGAAGAAAATATGAGTGTAGTTTTCAAGCACGGTTAACTAAATCAATACATGTCTCCAATCCATAAGTCTCACATTTCACTTTCCTGCTAATTTGAGGTCATTAAAATTTTTCCTGATAACTTTCATAGCTGAGTGTCCTAACTGAAATTTCTCAATGAGAGTAAATTTGAATTTGTCACTCAAGATTGAAATTTCTAACTCAGAAAAAAAAAATGTTGTCTTCTCACTCTTCCTGCTTGCATTCTTAATAAAGGGGCAGTCACATGCACCATCACGATTCTCCTTATAACTTGAGGGGAAGACAACTGTTGTCTCCCCCTGATGATTACCCACAAAGTGGGCAAAATAGGTTTATCGCGTTCAACCGAAGGAGGAAGCTCCATTACCGCAAGTCATAGCAAGGAGAAGAGCTGCAATTCGGACAGAAGAGCTCGGGTGCGAAGCTACGCAGAAGAGAGGAACCGCAAACAATAACCGCAGATGACGACTGCGCAGAATAAAAATCGCAGCTCAACAGAGTCCAAACCGCAACACGACCACGTGCATAAAGGAAACCACGGCACGAAAACGTTGCAGAAGCAAAAACGCCGCAGAAGGGAAGGTCCAAATGTTGTTCACCGTCGTCGTCGTCGAGTGCAAAGGCAAAGACGACGAAAGCAAAGGCAAAGTTTGTCGTCGTCGAGTGCGAAAACAGCGTCTTTGAAGAGGATGGATTGAAAGTCGAAGGAATCAAACCAGAGTTTCGCCATCGGGCGAAACCCTAGCATAGCAGATCACCACCGACGCCATTGAGATGAAGTATCCGGCGTAGAGGCAACTCATACTTCACACGTACTAGAACCTATTGTGGGTACTACGGTTGGTATTCCTTCTACCTTAGCTCTACCACCCCATCAAATTGATTCTCCGGATAAGGAATGGCATGTCTATTCCAGGAGGAAGAAGAAGAAACTATGTTCTGGCACGACACGTGAATGGCTTCGATCAAATAATCACAGATTTGTCACGATTTGATGTGAGTATTGAGGATGAAGACCGAGCAATGATTTTATTGTGTTCATTGTCTTCTTCCTATAAACACTTGGTGACTACTCTTACATACGGGAAAGAAACTATCAAAATTGAATCACTGCAGCATTGTTGGCCTATAACCAATGGAAGCGGAATGTAGGGGAAAACTCTCATGGCGACATTTTATATGTGAAGGGTAATCAAAATCGTGGAAAAAAAAAGAGGAGGGTTCTGGAAGACGAAATTACAGATCAAATTGCAAAGGCAAAAAAATAATTTATTGCTACAAGTGCAAGGGGTTATATGAAGAGGGATTGTCCAAAACTGAAAAAGCAGACTGGAGAGAAAGGTGATGCATCATTCAAGTCTGTAAATGTGGTGCAGAGTGACAATTCAAATTACAGTGATAGTAATATACTTTCAGTTTCATCAACTCGGTTTATGGATGCATGGATTTTTGATTCAGGATGTTATTATCACATAATACCTAACAGAGAGTGATTTATTTCATACAGGTTAACTAATTCTGGTTCAATCTATTTAGGTGATGATAGATGTTGCAATATTGTTGGTATTGGTGAAGTCAGAATTCAGATGTATGATGGCACTGTTAAATCATTCTGTGATGTCAGACATATTTCAAATCTGAAAAAAAATTTGATTTTCATTGGCACTTTACATAAAAATTATTTTATTCCTAAGGCAGATGAGGATAAGAAAACTATCAGAATTGTTAAGGGTGCACCTATGATGAAAGAAAAATTAACTGCACGTAATGTCTACAAACTGTTAAGGAGTACAGCTGTAGGTGGAGTTCATTCTGTGGAGTCAGATGATGATAATACAAAGTTGTGGCACATGCGTCTGGGTCATCTTAGTGAACGTGAGATGGCGGAATTACATGATGTTAAAAGTTGCAAGTTCGATTTTTGTAAGTTCTGTGTTCTTGGAAAACAGAATAGTCAGATTTATGACTTAAAAGCATAAAACTGAAGGGATTTTTAATTATGTGCATTCTGATGTATGGGGCCCTACCAAAGAATCGTCATTGGGAGGATCTCAGTATTTTGCTACAATTATTGATGATTTCTCCAAGAAAGTTTGGGTGTACTTCTTGAAACAAAAATTTGAAGTCTTCTCCAAGTTTATGCTGTGGAAAGCTGAAGTGGAGAACCAAACTAGCAAAAAGATCAAGTATCTGAGGTCTGATAATGGCACAGAGTACACAGATTCACAGTTTCAGAAATTTTGTGAGAAGCATGGAATTCAGAGGCATTTTACAATGCGCAAGACACCACAGCAAAATGGCGTTGCATAAAAGATGAACAGGTCATTAACTGAAAGAGCAAGATGCCTGAGACTGAATGCAGGAATTCTTATAAGTTTCTAGGCAGAAACTGTGAATATAACATGTTATCTCATCAAGAGATAACCTCGGGCATCGTTAGGTGGTAAGATTGCAAAAGAGATATGGGCAAGCAATCCAATTAATTTCAATCATTTACAAATTTTTTGGTGTCCTGCTTATATGCATGTACCTGGAGATGAAAGATCAAAACTTGATGCAATCCAAGAAGTGCATCTTTCTGTGCTACAAGAAAGGGTGTAAAAAAATACAAGTTTTGGGATCCGATTGCAAAGAATATGGTGATCAATAGAGATGCAGTTTTTTAAGAACAGTCCATGTTGCAGCGGAATCAAGACAAGGTGCAAAGGAACAGTTCCAGTTTAGATACAGTGCAGATGGATCTAAAACAACATTCAGTAGCAACTGAGAAAGTTGAAAGTTTAGAACCAACACCTGGTGATTCCATTTCAGATGATCTGTAAAATTACACATTTGCCAGAGATAGACAGAGACGCACCAATATATGGTCTCCTAACAGATTGGGTTATAAAGACTTGGTCTATTGTACACTTCTCATCAGCAGCAATGATCCAGCCACTTTTCAATGAGTTATCACCAGCCAGGAGAAAGCGAAATGGATTGGTGCAATTGTTGAGGAGATTGAGTCTTTGCAGAAAAATCACACAAGTGAGTAAATAAAAGAAAACCAGCAGTATCAAAAAAAGAAGGGGAAAAGTTCAAAGCTCGACTAATAGCAAAG